TTTTTTTTTTCAGAATTATGATTGGCTTCTCAACGGAAGTGTAGTGTTATTCATGATTCTCTTTTTCAGATAGGTGGAGTGGCTTTAACTGAGGGTCTCATTTCTGCTGTGGAAGAAAGGTTTGTTACATTCAAGATTTAAAATGATGATTTGCTCTGTTGTTGCTTCACTAAAAACTGTAAGGTGCATGAAACAAAAATATTGCATGCAACCTCAAATTCTTTCATTTTCGGTTTCCAATGTCTTTCAGTACGATCTTTTCAAGCAGCACAATCATTTATTGAGATAATTGTTGAATTGCCCGAGGTTTATAAGCGTAAATATAAAAGGATCTGCCAGCCTTCGAAATTAGCGATACCCCTAAAAATGCCATAGGCATCCAATTTGGTTTTGTATTTGCTTAACAAATGCACCCCTCTTGAGGAACTGGATTGCATTTACTAAATGATAAAAAAATTCGAAGGGGTGCTCATAGTTTTGAAAGTATTTTTTTTTTTCTTGCTGTTACACTAAATCTTGGAAAATTTTATTAATCAACCTTATTGTGTGAATTGCACAAACTTATGGTCTTCATTCCCCAATGTTTTCCTCTTGCAGGGTATTGCATGCTATTCCTTCTCATGAAGCCATTGATACGGTGGAGGTCAGTTTTATTATTTTGTTACATAAATTTGAGCTATTTTATATTAAGTTCATTTCCAATTTATGTAAATGTGAGGAACACTTTGGATTATTAAGTATTAACTGTTCAATTGTTTGCACGTCATAATCTCTGAGAGCGTCAAATATGCTGAAATAATCTATTATTGACTGATTGCTGGAAAGAGAGTAATGCCTAACATTTTAAACTTGTCACACTGCAGGTTTTGCAATCTAGAACAAATACAGCCTTTGTATCATGGAAAGGTGGAGCGGTGAGTATTTTCTCGTGAAATAAAAAATATCTTGTGCGAAAACAGCAGATATATTTTTGACTTGCTCACACTCGGTGCTCGCTTCTAGTTTTGTTCCGTACATTGAAATATGGGATATGGATGGAACTGTAATGATACATTATGTATAACTTATATTGGTCTAATTAAATTTGAGTTGGATAATAAGAATTTGATGGCTAATGTAAACTTCCGGCCCGTTGACAATTAAATACTGAAATGGAATCATTACTTTGTCAAAGAGTTGAGCACAGTATCATTGACCTTCCATGAAATGTTGATGCAGATATTAGCTGTTCTTGATTATACACGAGATGCGTGGATACACCGTGAGGACTGGATCAAGAACGGGATTCATATTGGTAGTGGCCGAAAGTACAAGGATTCCTATTTTCTTCAAGCACAATCTTTGTGTTACATTAATTCCTGACTGGCTTGTAATATGTTGTACATCACCTGTATGATAGCTATTACTGTTAACTGTTTGCAAGATTTCTTACTATTTTTTGCTTGCTTTATTTTTGTGGCAGATTTTTAAGTTAATTTCTAGTTCAGATAGCTGTAGCTTTGTATGCCTGTGTAAAGTGACCTCTTAGAACTGGTCTGTTCATGTTTGAGGTGCTTTAGGCATTTTTTTTTTTTTTTTT